CAACCAGATCTCTAGGTACAGAGATCAGCCTTTGAATACATGGTGCACAAAGACATCACCCAAACATTCAGGAAAGTGCAAGTTAGTTATTTCGGAAGGAGGGGTTTAACATTGAATCCTGTGTCTTCTTCCCTCTTCAGACAGACGTAATTGTTAATTCCACAAACAAATACAATCTTAAAAGCGGATGTGTATCAAAGTCAATTCTTAAACAAGCGGGACTTGAAATGGAATGGGAACTCGGCAAGTTTAGCTGGTCTGCAGATAATGAGGTGGTACGTGTCACAAAAGGATTTAAACTGTCCTGTCAGTATGTGTTCCATGTGCTATGGCAACCCAATAGCAAATACCAGGTAAGTTCAAAATAAACTTGCGTTTGTATGCTTGCGCGATCTGAGCATTTTGTCAAGTCTCCATTGTTTGATTATGTTTATGAAATGTTTGAAAACACATCTACGACTGACCGAAAGGCTAAGCAAGCACGGTTGCCCCCAGGTCTCCTCAGTTTGATTTGAAGTGTCTAAGTGCGCACACTGCACATGGTCACTGGCACCCAGAATCCTTCAGTCTCTACACCAGTTTGCTCCCCAGTACTCAGTGACCTGCTCTGTCTTTCCATAGTGAGGCGGGAACTCAGCCTCTCTGTATTTTCTCTCACATTCCAGCAGGAGCTGGATTCAAATCTGTTTCCCAGTCTCATCCAACTGTGCCTATAGTAGATACTGGCTCTTAGCCAACTCCTGCCATGAAACAGGAAAATGGGAGAATAGAGGGCATCCACTCAGGTGTAGAGAGCTGCTTGATCCCAGTGTGCCTTCTATCTGTGTCTGTTTCCATTTATTTATTTATTTATTTATTTATTTATTTATTTATTTATTTATTTATTTACTTACTTACTTACTTACTTACTTACTTACTTACTTATTTGAGATAGTTTCTTTCCCTACAGAGTCCTGGCTGTCTTGGAACTCACTGTGTTGACGAGGCTGGCCTTGAACTCACAGAGATCCACCTGCCTCTGCCTCTTGACTGCTGAGATTAAAGCTATTTTAATCTTTGAGATGAGGTCTCATAGTGTAGCACAGACTAGCCTGAAACTCTGTAACTCCAGGCTATCCCATAACTGTTTGCAGTACTCCTACATGGGCCTCCAGAGTGCCAGGATTATAAGGCACCACCCCTGGCTTGTGTATTTTTTTTTTTTTCCTGTGCCATGTCCTCACCCAAATTGACCCCTCAATCATTCTTTATGCTTCATCTTTTCAAGATTCTTTCACGGACAACCTTCCTGTCTATATGTGGATTCAATGTAATTTAGAAGGGTTGTTGGAAGGTTAGCCTGGCATGGTGCCCTACTTTTGGGAGGCAGAGGCAGGTAAATCTCTGTGAGTTTGAGGTCACCTACTTTACATAGTGAGTTTTAGGCTAGGCAGGGCTGTATAGTGAGACCTTGTCTAAAGAAGGAAAAAGAAAAGTTGATGGACTTCTCCAGCAGAAGCTACACAGTAGATCCTAATAGTGAAGGAGTACTGTTTTCTTCTTTTAGTCTTCTTTTCATTCCATAAACTGTCAAGGACTCTTTTTTGATTGGAAGTGGCAGGTGAGTGATGCTTGGCTCGCTGGGCTAGGGAGATGATCAGGGCTACATAACTGGGAGAAATCACAGTGCTTCAATGCCCTGGGTAGCATTCAGTGGCCTCAGTTTCTCAGCCATATACTTCCTACTCTTTAGCCTATTGATGCAGTGGGTTTTTGTGGAGTGGGGCCTTACTGGCCCTCTGAGGCCGTGTAGTGCAGTGGCAAATTTTGAGCATAAGTGAAGAGTTAAGTGAAGTCTTCTTTTTGTCACAGAGGTTGATCTTGAACTTGTGTTTCTCTTGCAGCTATTGAAAGATGCCATGAGGAGCTGTCTGGAAAAATGCCTTAACCCGGATATAAATTCCATTTCCTTTCCTGCCCTTGGGACAGGAGTAATCGCTTTAGAGAAGAGTATAGCAGCACAGATAATGTTTGATGAAGTTTTGGCATTTGCCAAAGAGCACAGGGAAAAAACACTAACTGTGAAGATTGTGGTCTTTCCAGTAGATACGGATGTATACAGAGTGAGTTTGCATTCAGTTTTTCATTCCCCACCAATGTCTGATCAGGATCTCTAGTCTAACACACTGGTTTAAGATCCCACAATGAAGTGGGAGCAGTGTAGTCTTGCCCTTCAGCTCCATCTCTCTAGGTTCTTTGCTTGTTGCCTACTCCTTGTGTAAAAGCTATCACTAGTGGTTAAGTTGCAGTTTTCCATCACATTTCGTTCAAAAGCTCTGCCCAAGTATTTCTAAACCTGCACCATCTCCTGCTCTCTGAAATGACCTAGCCAGGGAATGACTTTCGTCTGCTGTATTTACAAACGCTTGGATGAAGACAACAGGGAACAATCCTGTCAAACTCTCTCCAGGTAACTGTGAGATCAAGGCATTTTATTTGCTCTGGAACTAGAAGCTACAAAAACAGTTTGTGAAGGAAATGTCTCTAAATAAGGAAACTTCAATGTTGAGTTGGGTGTGTTAGTGTGTGCTTTGAGTTCCTCTGCTTGGGAAGCAGAGGCAAGAGGATCTGAGCCAGGATGGCACACGCTGTTAATCCCAGCACTCTGGAGGCAGAAGCAGGTGGATCTCCAAGTTTGAAGCCAGCTTGGTGTATAGAGCAAGTTCTAGGACTGCCAGGGCTACACAGAGAAAACTTGTTTCAAAAAAAAAGGTAGTGAAATAATGAAAACCTGTTTAAACACACACACACACACACACACACACACACAAAGGTATAAAGCAAAATCTAGTCTTTATCATTATCATTTTTCAATAAAGTGATTACTGCCTATTTATCAACTTTGAACAAAAAAGATACTGGATAAGGTGTTTCCAACCCCCTAGAGGTTTCAGTTATTTCAAAATGACCCTATCTTAAAGGAAATGTCTAGAAATATCCAGTCATTTTTCTGTAGACTGTAACAATAATTATTATATAGAACATATATTGAGTGCTCAGTATGAGTCAGACCCAATTTCAAGTAGTTTACAATAATTAGCCAATATAAAGCAGTTTGGTAGGTTGGAGAGATGACTCAGGTTAAGAGCACTGGCTCCTCTTCCAGAGGGCCTGAATTCAATTTCCAGCAACCACATGGTGGCTCACAACCATCTATTATGAGATGTGGTGCCCTCTTCTGGCCTATCGGCGTACATGCAGGCAGAACACTGTATACATAATAAATCAATCAATCAATCAATCAATCAATCAATCAATCTTTAAAAAAACAAAAAACAGTTTGGTTTGCCTGTAACATTTAGAAGTGATCTGTATTTTTATTTTAACTTTAATTCAGTACCTACATCAATACTTGAATGGATAAGTGCTTATATTTTGCCCAAATTCTACCAGTTTTTTTTTTCACTTTTACCTGTACTAATTTCTCACATGTTCTAATACAGAGATTCTCAACCTTCCTAATGCTTTAATACAGTTCCTCATGCTGCTGCAGTGATCCCCGACCATAAAATTATTTTCATTGCTACTTCATAACTGTAATCTTGCTTCTGTTATGAATAGTAATGTAAGTAGCCGATACACAGGGTATCTGATGTGTGACCCACAGGCTGTGAACCCCTGCTCTGATAGCTCATAGTGCTGCACATGTCTCTTGGCTTGTGTAAGGCCTGCCTTCAGGTTCACGGCAGTGGGAACGGAGTCTAATGACATAGTGGTGTGGTGTATTCAGACAGAGGTTTTCATCACAGTGGTTGAAATGACTGTCCTGCTTTGCTTACTTCAGGTTTTCTGTGCTGAAATGACAAAGAGGTCCAGTGAGCTAAGTCTCAGCATGAACAGTGGTGAGTAAGAAATTAAGATCGCCCAGCAACTCTTGAGAATCAGAGGCAGGCAGATCTCTGAGTTTGAGACCAACCTGATCTACAAAGTGAGACCAGGACAGCCAAGGCTACACAGAGAAACCCTGTCTAGGGAAACAAAAAAAACAAAACAACAACAACACGAAGAGTCCTACAAGTGTAATGGTACATGGGTGGTGGTAGGAGAACCAGGAGTTCTAGGTCGTGCTCAGACAGCAAGTTTGAGACTATCCTGGGCTACAGGAGACCCTTTCTTAAAGAAAGGTGGGGTGCCTGCCCATGTCTTCATAGATTCTGATTCAGGAGCTCTGGCCTAGTTCAAGCAGGTCTTTTTAAAAACTGTCCAGCTGTTCGGCTGAGCTGGGTTTGGAGCTGCTGGGATAGGAACTGATGTTTGCTGGTGTGGTTACTTCTGTGTCACTCCGTTTCTTTGGGGGTTGTGAGTAGACTGGGGAGGACAGCCTAATGGTTCAGTAGTATTGGAGGTGCAGAAGGGCTGACTCTGTTGGAGTCCTGGGCTGCTGCTTCTTAGGGGCCTATATTGATTTGTCTGCAGAGTGATAGTGAAAGCCGTTAGGACCAGTGAGATGGCTAATTTGGTAAAGGCAACTGCTGCCGAGCCTGATGACCCGAGCCCAGCTCCTGGAACCCACATGATAGAAGGAGAAAACTAACTCACAAATTGTCCTCCAAATGTACATCATAATACGTGTGCGCTTTCAAACACAGAAAGACACACACACATACACACGCAGAGCACTCAAACATTGTAATTTAAATGAATAATAGGCAATATTTTGATAATTTCCATTTTTCAAGAGATGTTTTGTGAGCTGCCATGTGGGTGCTGGGAATTGAACTCAGATCCTTTGGAAAAGCAGCCAGTACTCTTAACCACTGAGCCGTCTCTCCAGTCCCACAGCAGATGTTTTTGTAACTTAAAATTACAAAGCATCATTTAACCAGTTCCAGGAGGCAAATAAGGAGAAGATGGACAAACTCCTCAAAGTAATGTAAGTTCCCAAACAAGCATTTAAAACAGCAAAAAGCATGCCTCCAATTAAAATTCCCTTCTCACTTTTGTTATCTTAAACATTGGCTTTTTTTTTTTTTTTTTTTTACTCAGCTGCCATCCTCCTCCCTTGTAGTTCTGTCCTAATGCTTTCCATAGCTCCACCCAGCTATGACATCAGTAGAAAGATGCTGATTACCCAGTTGTCTTTTTATTATTGTTGTTTAAAGTTTTAGTTATGGTAGGAACATGCCAGTAAGTGAATTTTGCTTGCAGAGGCCAGAGATTCTTTTGGAGCTTGAGGTAGAGGTAGTTGTGAGCAGTCTGATGGGGTAGGTGGGAGTTGAACTCCAGTCCTCTGGAAGAGCAATACATCCTCTTCATCACTCCTATCTCCAGCCCCTGTCCTACTGTCTTGGGATCACTGCTAGAAAGCAGAGTTGTGTAAGCATTAGGGTCAGATTCCCACACCCACTAGCTTGGTGGACATGATTAACTAGTCCTACTGACAGGTACAAGTTACTTAATGACTCTGCGAATCTTAGGTGACTTCATTTGTAAGATGAACTAAATAGTTCCTATCTCAGGATTGTGAGGCTTAAATAAAATAATCCAACTGGACGTGGTGGTACATGCCTTTGATCTCAGTGCAAATCCAGGACTGCCAAATCTACACAGAGGAACCCTGTCTCAAAAAAACCTAAATAGATAGATAGATAGATAGATAGATAGATAGATAGATAGATAGATAGATAAAATAAGTAAAATAAAAATATAATAATAATATGTGTAAAGTCCTTTGAGCAATGTATGGAATAGTTCTTAACTTGCATTTTCTCCCCTCAAAATATGTTTCTATGACTCAGTCATGTAAAGTAATTTTTCATCAGTACAATACCAAGCCTGAGCATCTGAGTTTGATCCACTGACTCCTTCAAATCGTTCGTGCTCTCTCTCAACACACAGACAGACACACACACACACACACACACACACACACACACACACACACACACAAAATGTGAGCTTTTCCAAAGTTTTTGTTTTTTATTTTGAATAAAAATGCTTGAAGTCCCAAGCTGGAGTGATAGCTCAGAGGTTCGGAGCACTGACCTGATTCAAGTCCCAGCATTCACATGGCAGCTTACAGAGGTCTTTAACTCCAGATCCAGGGGTCCAACATTCTCACACAGTAAAACCTGCAGGTAAAACACCAGTGCACACAAAATAAAAATTTAAAGAAAAACATTTTAAAAAAGGAATGCTTGTCCCAGTTTTATGTCCTAGATATTTAGGAGTTCTAGTCGCTTTATAGACTTATAAACAGTTGATATTGTTAAACTTACAAATTCCTGCCTGATTGATGGGTGATGGTGCATTTCTCTGATTGGAGTCAAGATAAACATATTTTCAAATAGATTTAATCCATAATGTTTGTTTTTTCTGTGAAATGTTTTTGTGTACTTATCTACTGGTTTGCTCCCTTTTTAAAACAATAATATTTTAATTAATTCTTTGATAACTTCATACCATTTATTTTTCTAATCCTTGCCTTAGCTCTTCCCAGATCTACCCCTCTTAAAAAAAAAAAAAGGACAGGCTCTCATATTTTACAGGTTAGCCTCAAAATCTTTATGTAGCCAAGGCTAGCTTTCAATTCCTGATCCTCCTGACTCCACCGCTCAGATGTGGGGATTATAAGCACATGTCACCACTCTCAACTTCAGATTTTGTTTCTCAAAATACATTTTATTCCTTGAACTCTGTAGCTTTAGGTGCCTGATTTTAAGTCTGGTAGGTACAAGAGGTTAAGGAACATGTCACTTAGCAGATGAGAGTAGGTAAACTCATTTGTGAATTGACCAATCACACACAGCAGAGGGTGGCTATGATAAAGCCATCGCCTTCTAAGCTAACTGGTATGTTTTTAAGGAGGCCATAAGCTGAGCACATAGATTCCCTTTATAACTGGTGTAGCTTTACCGATGGGTCTTAGCTGCTGCTGCTGACAGTGGTGGTGATATCCTCAGGGCAAATCGAGGCTGTGATGTTCTACACTGTTTAAAAACCCACCAGCCTTCCATATCTGTTTTTTAATAGCTGTTCCAGTCTCCCAGTGGACCAGAGGGGAGCAAAGCAGAAGTGGGCTTGAAGCTGGATCCCCTGCCATCAGTCTGATGGGTGTGAACTCGGGAGAGATGTGTGAGGCCAAAGAATGGATTGAGAGGTTGCTGACCTCTGAGGCTCACCACATCATTGAGAATAATCATATTCTCTACCTGGGGAAGAAAGAGCATGACACGCTGTCACAGCTCCAGAAAACCGCACGTGTCTCCATTTCAGAGACTGTCAGTCCAGAAAAGGCAGCTTTGGAGATTAGAGGCGCCCAGGCTGACCTCATTGAAGCAGTGATGAGTATTGAGTCTATGCTGTGTCAAGTTCAGGAAGAAGTGGTGAGAAAAAAGGAGAAGAGTCTCTTGAGCTTGTCAGGTGACTTAACATTTTTATTTATTCTTTGTGATTTTCAATACATGTATACAATGTATTTTGATCATGTTCACCTTCATTCTCTGCTCCAGCTCCTCTGAGGCTTTCCCAACACTTCCCTTCCTACTCCATGTCCTTATGAAAACCCAATGGGTCCAATCGAAGCCTTCCATATGCATGTGAATTTAGGGCTGTCCAATGGAGCATGAGCAACCTACCGGGCTACATCCCTGAAGAAAATGAACTTCTTCCTCCTAGTAGCCATCAAATACTAATAGTTCCTCAGTTAGAGGGGACAGTTCGGCCGTCCTCTGTAAATGCTGTGAGTTCATGTTTCCAACAGCTCTGTTATATCCAGATTCCTTCCTTCCTTCCTTCCTTCCTTCCTTCCTTCCTTCCTTCCTTCCTTCCTTCCTTCCTTCCCTCCCTCCCTCCCTCCCTCCCTCCCTCCCTCCCTCCCTCTCTCCCTCCCTTCCTTCCTTCCTTCCTTCCTTTAAAAGAGTGTCAAGTAGTCCAAACCGGCCTTGAACTCCTGTTTCTCCTGCCTTTGGCTGGTTTCACAAGTCTCGGCCACCATGCCTGACCTTGTTTTGTTTTGTTTTTGAGATAAGGCCTCACACTGAATTTCAGGCTATCCTGAAATTCACTTATTTATCCCAGGTGGACTTTGAAAGATAGTCCCTGCCTCAGCCTCCCAAGTATGGGGATTACAGACATGAGCCACCACATTTAGCTCAGGTCATAACACGTTGATAAGCTATGTTTTATCTTTCTACTGTCAGAGTTATTTATTAATAAATAGAAACACATGCCATTGGATTTACTTGTGATGACATGGATGTCCTAGTTACACAGAAACCCTGAAATAAGACCTGCAGGAAAACAACAACACAAATGTAACATGCTCCGTTTTGCAAATAGAGCATTCAAATATAGACATATTTTACCTGATTACTTACCTTGAGTTTTATTACATTTATGTATTGCTGGCAGCATTACGAGCTCTAAGGTTACTATTGTGAACTCTGTCACCAACAGAAGTCCTCACTGGTATTATGAGATATACCCAGGTATCTCTCAGTCATTGTGATTAAACTCATGAGAGGAACTGTGGGGATTTAGGCCTATAGAGATCCTTTGTGAATCCTAGAGCTAACTAAGATTAACATTTAAAAGGCTACTTTGATGGCCAGAAAGATGGCTCAGCAGGTAAAGGCACTTGCCATCCAACCAGAGTTCAATCCCTGGGACTGATGTGGTAGAGAAACCAACTTCCACAAGATGTCTTCTCTTCCAGACCCATGCATACAAGCGCGTTCACACAAATAAGTGTGATTAAAAAAAAAAAATTAAGTGCCACTTTGAGTGGTGGCAAATCCCTATAATCGTAGCAGTCAAGAGGCTGAGGCAGAAAGGCAAGCTTGAGCTACATAATGAGATAGAAGATGAAGATCCTATCTTAAAAAAACAACAACATACCAACCAAACAATGAAAGCACAGTCACACATCATTCATTGATTTATTGACCTAGTACATACTGTATAGTGCCGATACTGCTGATAAACACGGTGGAACTTGTTTCTGCAAACTCTGAGGCCAGCAGGTGAACTATGATGGGAAGATGGCCGTGCTCTAGGAGTACAAAGGACACCTTATGCCCACTTGGGAGTCAGAACAAGGCTTCTTGAAGGAGGTCTAGAAAATGGAAGGCTGAGTACGTGGCAGCTAGGCAAAGGAAGACAGTCTCGAGCAATAAGAGTACAGGACTAACGGGCTGCAGTGGCACATTCTGTGACTGCACTCAGGAGGTACACGCAGAAGAATTAGGAGTTCAAGGTTGTCGCCTGCTGCATGGCAGATTTCAGCCAAGCTGGGCTACATGAGACCCCTTCTTAAATAAGAACAGGGAGGGAGGGTGTGTATCAGGGGTTAAACAAACAAAACAGCTCTTACAGAGGACCTGGGTAAAGTTTGCAGTCCCCACATGGCAACCACTTGTTTCAGGCTGCTTCATCTTTTCTGACGATTAGGTCTGACAGTAGAGGTTTGTGGATCTCTGTGTCTCTGGTGCCCAGCCCTTGTAAATCCTGCTCGGCAGCAGGAGTTTGGTGACCGTTTGTTGAATTCAAGAGACCAGAAAGCCAATCTCACACTTTAAAATTTGTGAGGGTACAGTCTCTTCCTCTTGATTTGGATCGCCTCTGCTGTGGATTTTCTTCTTCTTATTTTCTTAGATTTACAACTTGGTCCTCTAGGGAGTGAGTTACTTTGAGTTTAGCACCTGCTTTGCATGGTTAAATTGAAGTCCAGAGACACCACGCTTGGGATTAGGCCATTTTAGTATGGTCGAGCCAAACTGAAAATTAACAGACATACCACCTTGCCACCTTCTTTGTTTGTCTACATTTGTGTTCAGTCAAATAGGGTGCTTCCTTGGACAAAAACAGGTTGCATACTGAATTTCAAGACAGAAGGAGATAGGAAAGAAGGGGAAGTTAGAGAGTTTGGAAACAAAGGGAGGAAAAGACAGAAAAGAGGGAGGAAGGAGAGGATATCGTGGATTCTTGAGCTCTCAGTTTTGCTCCTGCTCATACCAGGCGTGACATGTTTTGTCTCCTTATAGCAAACACAAATAAAAGCCAGGATTATAATCTTAGATCTCTGCTTACCTGCTTTGTTATAGTGGACAGGTCGCTTAACTTCTGAAGTTCAATTTCCTTGATTATAAAGCTCTGTTGATCATTTCAGCAGTGGTGGGATGAATAACAGGTAGAGAAGTGAATGGGTTTGAAAACTGAAATGTAGTATGAATAGCCTGTTGTTTTCCATGCTTTCTTAATGTTTAAATTTTTTGTGTATGAGTGCTTTGCCTGCACAATAAACATGCATATCTGTGTATCATGTGCTTGCAGTGCCCAGAAGAGGGTGTCACATCCTTTGGAACTTGATTCTAGGTAGGCACTGGGAATCAAACCCAGGAACCCAGTCCTTTGCAAGAACAAGTGCTCTTAGCTGCTGACGCAGCTCTCCAGTCTTGCTTCATGCTTTCCTAATTCTTACTTTTGCAACCTGGCTGAAGTACAGACATTCCCTATGACAACACAACCATTTATCATGACTGCAGCATTATTGTAGGAGGAAGAATATAATTAATGCTCTTCTCCTTCACATCTTCACAGTCTCATGACCTGGGTCATCAAGAACAAATCTATCACCACTTTATCTTGTGTCTTACTGTACTTCAGTTCTAGAACCAGAGTCTTAGAGCAGAAGCTTGGGCTCCAGCAGCAGCCTCAGAGGCCTAGCTCAACTGCCCTCCCCAGGACATCAGCTTAGACACAGGAGTCATGAAAAGCTGAGAAAGATTTCATCAATTCACATTAGGAAGAGATAAAGGGTCCCAGAGCCTCCAGTTTCTTCTTCTGGTTACTTATGTGATTTTTAGGTTTAACTGAAGGATGAACTGGGGTCTAGTGACATGGCTTGGCAGTTAAGAACACTGGCTGCCCTTTCAGAGGACCTGAGTTTGATCCCAAACATATGGTCACTCAAAATCTGAGCTCCAGTTCCAGAGGATCTGATGCCCTCTTCTGGTCTCCGCATGTCTGTATTTACACAGTGCAAAGATATTCAGGGACAAGGCCCATTCACATAAAATGAATTTTTTTTTTTTTTTTTTTTTGGCTTTTCAAAACAGGGTTCTCTGTGTAG